GAGGACAGGGGAGGGGGAGGACTTGACGGAGTGCCTCCTGACTGCCCCGTCATTCTGAGGGGTAGCAGCTGATGGAGACGAACCGTCGAAGCGGCGGCGGTGGATCTCGGCGACGGACAGCTGTGCCTCGTTCCCATTATCATCGTCGTCCTCCTCGGACGATACCTGGTTATTGTTGTTGAACTGTAAAATTACCTCGGTGGAGCTGAGTCGACTGCGACGCTGCTCGATCGACGACGTGGAGCAGCCGCCCACGGCGCCTCCGACGCCCACGGAGCGTCGAGAGCTCGTAGTGGTGGCACTGTGACTCCTGGAGCAGACGCTGTCAGCGGTACTGTCCGTGCTGCACCGCGTATAGTTGGAGGGCGAGTACTTGTTGAACATCTCAGTCACGCTAATGCCCGACAGCGTGCACGTCGACGTGCCAAACCTTCGGCCGAGCGTCGTCGTCGTCGTCGACGTCGTTCTGCCGCTGTCCCTGACCCGGCTGTACCCCCCGATGGAGGACTCTCGACTCTCGCTTCTCTCCCGCCCCCCTGCATTACGACCCGACGACAAGGAGATTCCGGAGTCATCGGACAGGGAGCCCTGGCGGGAGTACGACGACGACGACAATGTAGATCTGCGAACACGTACATACGAATGCAGTGATGCCCCACTTAGGCAACTCTGTGGGTCACGGAGTCCAGTGCCTACCCTGTGACCCCTGTAAACCGCTGTAGGTCGATAATGATAAAAATTAATGTCAACCGGAAATGCATATTAAGGTAAACAGTCATTCACTTGGCGAAGACAAATCACTGGGGAACTAATCCACACAAACGGAAGTCGAAACATCAGAGCGCACAAAAGAAATTGTTCAATTACAAACCAAAGACGGGAACATTCTATGGACAAAATGCACTGTTAGTGGCTGGTAAAGCTAGTGGTATACAGTTACCACTTGAATTCAAACCAACTCAGTCCTGTTTACACCCACCAAACTGGACCAATTAAAATCTATTTTCACGTGCACATCAGTCTCCCTACTGGATACTTTCCAAAACTCTTACTTCTTAACCATCTGCACCACACACAGGTCAATAATTCATCATAACCTCTTTGATATTGAGATATAAAAGCGCAATGAAATTTTCCACGGGGTCATTCCACATCAAGACACATATTTCCAATATCACACCCTCAGAACTGAATAATTCTTCTTAGATTGTGGTCCCAATTTAACTTCTAGATCTTTGAGAGCAGACAACTGAAGTTGTCAAAAGACAGTTTCGTCTTTTTTCGGGGACCGGGGGGGGGGAACAGTTTATCTTAGGAAAAGTGGTGTATTGTCTGTTCCAATTCACATACCAAGCTCATTTTATGTTCATTTCAAAGCTATTACCTACTCCACCAATAAATTAAGCAGTTCAGTATCCAAGGTCTTCAAAATGCTATTTCTCAAAATGATGTATTTTTACTTTTTTAAGAAATAACTGCATGCATGCATATATGTGTGTGTTTTTTATGACCGACCCACCTTCTCTACTCGGTTTGTTCAGCTGCTCAAGGGTTATCTAAAGCGTCGCTTAACAGGATTCACACACAAAACTCAACAGCTGTTTTAATCTCAACACATCTACACCATGTCCACTCCCTTTAAGCGACTCCACAATACTAAAACTGAGAAAACAAAACCACGACTTGCTCATGTGGCCCTCAATCAAAATAACAACTAAAGTACACAAACACCTCAAAAGAAATCGACAATTGGTACATGTAAAACTCCTTAATCTTGCAAGTCACAAACTGCAAACATATTCCAGATATCACCAACAATAGAAGTTGAGTACGTGCACGGACATCAAAGCAAGGTCTGCCCGGTTACTTTATTTCTTTAGTGTTCTGTCTGACGACAGGTCTATATGAACAGGATCCTTCCATCCTTTTCTCGGACTGGGACCTGTTCATATACGTTCTTGGCAGATGATCCAGAAGTGGTTTGCCATTGCCTTCTTCTGTGTGTGAATGGATTAATTGTTGGGATGCCACGGAGAAACCGGGGAAGCCCCCAGAGGAGACCACGGCCTTGCCCAACAGAAGTTATAAATTCAGGCACCGCCGGGAATCAAACCCGAGACCCCAGGATTACAAGGCCAGCGTTCTAACCGCTAGACCACCATGGCGATTTACAGTGTATAGTGAAAGAAATATTATAATTTATATAGTAAGACACCTTCTTGCAGGAAAGCTACTTGCTAAAAAGCAAATTAAAAACTGCCTTGCAAACACTCAAAGGCATTAAGCCAAAACACATTTATTTTCAATAACGTACGTAATGCAGTGTTAGGACGAAATTTGATATCACTGCTGATTGAGTAAGTCGCAGAATATGTGGTGCAGCTGGATATTATGTACAATGCACAGGGTCCATGAGAATAAAGAAATATTTTTATGTTATTTGATTCTTCACTGACAGATAGTACACAACCTAGACACCAGAAATTATCATGCATAAATGTTACAAATCCTGTAAGTCTTCCAATTCAATCATGTGTTTCAGCACACTAAATCAGAGTTCTCTGTACAGTTACGAGACGCCAAATAAATTTTTGTGTTAAGTACACCTTTCTTAACCAGCATAAATGCATGGAACAACTGGGTTCCAAGTAGTTTCATCTGTTCCAAATAGACTTGATCACAGACCTCTTTCTTCTTCGTATTCACAAAATCAAAACTGAAGTTGTGTACACTGTATTGAACTCATTCATACAGCTGGTGGGATGTCATCATTTGGTCATTATATGGTCACAGCAAGCTGGCTTTTGTTCCAAGCCTCTTCAGAGTGCCACCAACCCCATCACAAGCAGCCTTCTCATGGGACGTCACTAAGGAGTGCCACTCTGCTGGCAATCCAGACTTCATTGTGGCATGTAATATTTAGACAGAAGCAATTCATATGTGTTTACAACAGCCTTCACGCTGCTGAAGGTATGTACCAAAATGGAATCATGCTTCAAACAATCTGATATCATTACAAGATTCTGATGCTCTGTATTTATGGATGGATGGACAAATAGATGATAAAGTAGAAGTAACAACTGAAGATTGCTGTCTTCTGTGTTGTTGCACCATCATCGCCCTGAAGACGGAGGCAGCAAGGACCTCTGGAACATCGGTAAACTTCTACCAGACTACACAGCGCAACAACCAAGAAGACACCAATCTTCAGACTCACCGCTGTGAAAACCTCAAATCCTACATAGAAGTAACAATTGTTCAAGCAATGATTCAACAAATTCTTCAGTTGACTTTACAGTGATTACTAATTCACACCTGTCTGCCAAAAATCTGCTGTCAGAAGGTAATGTTTCCAATTGCATTATCAACTAAGTGATAGTTGCATTCACACAACATACTAAAAAACTTTAAATACATTGTGTGAAGTACAAGGTCAAAGGTCAAATCAGAATACATAAAAAACATAAGAAGTAAAGCTATCCCACTACATGCTATGTAGGCACTTGGAGGGAGAGCAGTATAGCTCCAACTTATTCTTAACATCAGAACTAGATAGGGGTGAGTGGTCAGCGTCATGCCCCGGCCACACTTCATCCACAGGAATATTCAAAGCATAACTGTGATAAATGTATTGGTGTAAATGGTCACTGGAAAGGGCACTTCGTTATCTTTTAAATGAGCTCTGTATCTCAATTACAGCAAACGTTATGCCTCTTTTTCTTTGAAAACTTGTGCCCAAAGAAAGTTTTTGACATCTTTGGATATCTGATCTCAAAAAACGACATGCCATAAAGCAATAAAATTCGGCAGGAATACCATCTCCATTGGGACTAAAATTTCACATAAAATCATTCAATTTTGTGGTCAGGTTGTGACCTGTGATGATTTGACTTGGAATGACCCCATCACCTTCTCTCTTACACCAAATATCTTATCCACAACTTAGTTTAGATATGTAGAATTTAAGAACATATTATTTATTGTCTTTCCCAAAGAGTAAGAGGTCATATTTTCAGCACAGTTCTGAACCATGTGGAATAAAGTTTCAGTTCGAAGAGTAATTTCATATTCCAGTTGTGTTCAAGTTCAATGACTCAAGAGCTGTAAAAGATTCCATAACTGGTTCAAACTACTTCATAAAATGCAGTAAATCACAGAAACAAGTCTTGACACTGTCACAGAAGCCTGCTACAGCGGCCCAGTCGACTGCGTGCACCAGCTTCTCGAAGCTCCCACCAACTTCTAAACTGTGTCACCAAGATTTGTTAGTTGTCGTTTACAGTAGAAAAAACTAGTAATGCCAACAGCGCTAGAACTTGGTCCCACACAGCCATTCTTAGTTCAGAGTGGGTCGTGAGTGAACAAGCAGCTGATTCCATTTTTTTTAATTACCAACTGTGGCGGAGAGCGATAACAGTGGAGTCATAAACAGAACTACTTATATTCAGTGTGAATTCTGGGAATTCATAATCAAGGTTGTGATACTAAACCCAAAGCATATTAATGAGGGAAATAATTAATTTTTAAAGCGCGGAATAAATTCATCTTTCATTCTGAATAATCCAGAACAGCTTAATCACTGACCTCCTATATGATATAAAACACATGGAAAGGAAAAAACTGATGCCAATGACATTAGCACCTCTGTTAAAAATGCTAAGGCTTCTGGCATCAGACAGAGCAGACTGAGTCACAGCTGAAATAATCTTTCCAAAAAGCTTACTGATTCATGTGATGCGAGTTGGGTTTATTCCAAATACAGACCAGCATGCCTTAGGCCATTTTTCTTTTTAAAACTATTCACTGTTAATAAAGTGTTCTGTAATCAGACCACAGACAAAGAATTCTCAGGTACATTGTATTTATTTCATGAAGATGTTTGGCAGACCAAAGAAACGTGTCCGTAGCAGTTCTAAGCCAAGTACAGTCAACTCTGAGAATATCTACCACTGTAAACAGGCAGTATGGGGATAAATTCAAAGAGTAATCAATTAAAACATGAAGAAAATTTAAATAACTGAAAATAACTTAAAGCTGATGATCATATAAAGACTGGTTATGAACCTTCATGTGTGGGTAAATGGGTTAATTCTAAATAACAAAGTGTTTGAATTTTTAGCTTAAAGATGCAATAAATACATTGTATTTTATAACATGCAGCACTCAGAGATGGTTCAAATTCCAATTAATTTTGTATGCATATGCAGACCCCAGGAATTTAAACATAACACCTAAAAGGTTAACACACAAAAGGATAAAATATCTGAAGTCTGGCACAACACTCAAAATATTTTTCAGTAATCATAAAGCTGGACAGACAGACACCCAACCAACACCACCACAGCCCACACACATCTGTATTTATACTATTCATTTTACAGGGTTATTCATAATTCCCTTACACATTACAGAAAACTGCCAGACTTGAATGGTGCAATGGATGGTAACATGCAACATGCCAACAGAAAGAGAAACTCTCTGAGTTTGCAGCAGCTTTTATGAGGTTTGTAAAATAAACTTGGAGAGTTTCAATTTTTATCAGCATGTCCTATGTTACCGTCCATTGCACCATTCAAGTCTAGCAATTTTTTGTAATGTGTCAGAGAATTATGAATAACCGTGTACATCTAGTTTATCCAATGAAGCACAGTTCCATCTAAATGCCTCATTCAGAAAGCTCTGCTGATTGAAACAGACCTCTCCCCTTGGTGGTAAGTCTGTTGTTGAAGAATATACAACACAGAGCAGAGATGGCAGAAAGAGCATGTGTTTAACAGACTACAGGTTCTTTTATTATGAGTTTTCAATATTTCCATCTAAAACAGGCCCAGGAAGAAATTCCAACCACTGCTACTGATGCTCACAATGTTAAAGTAAACACATTTTGTGTTATACATAATTTAAAAGTGCATAACATTGCCAAAAGTAACATGTTCGGGTGACTGTAAACCAATTTCAATCACTTATTAAAGATTCATGGTTCACACATCATTCATTTTAAAAGTCTGGTTCATTTCAGTTCAAACCACTGGTTTATAGTCATACAAAGTAACAAAAATTTTATTTATGTACATAATTTTCCACAGTCTGTGAAAAAATAAAGATGTCTGAACTGAAAAATAACAAGCATTTTCTGAAAGCCTCTGAATGCACAAAGTTGTGTGACAATTCTGTATTCTTAGCCCTGCAGATGAGAATGGAATGCAAACATTGAACACATAAGAGAATTCAGGTACTCACCTGGACGGTGATGTGTATTTTGATTTATAATCTAAGGTGTATGACCTTGGGATTGTTCGTGTAAGGCTGGTGTAGTAAGATCGATCTAGAGAACTGTTGAGGGAGGAACTGGTTCTGTGGCTGCTCCCTGACACCAATGAAGTGAAACGACTATGAGACGCTGGAACTGGCATCTTGTAGCTGACAGATGCAGGTGAAACCGTAGCCACAGCTCCACTGCGGTAAGGCATCACCAATGTGCCCAGTGGCCTGGACAGACAAATAACACTGCCTATTATGTCTGTCAATTCTTGAACCCTTTGTTACATTTATACCTGTGATTGCTAAAAGGCAACACTTTTCTTTTAAATGCTCTAAATTTAAATCTCAGACAGCCTTGTGATCAGGAATTAGATATTATTGTAATATGTAATTAAACACTAACTCCATGGAGGAGAATCCTTTTTAGAAGCAAATAGTATGCTCAGCTATTGATGAACATCTTACAAAATGCAAATTTCATTATCATATTCACAACAACCTGCCACTGGTCACTATCCTGAACCAGTTTAAAACCCTTGAAATCCTATTTCCCTAAGGCCCATTTTAATATTATGCCCCATTTATGCCTATGTCTTCTGAGTGGTCTCTTCCCTTCAGACTTTCCAACCAAAATTCTGGACACATTTCTCATCATTCCCATGCAAGCTACAAGCCCTGCCCATTCTCATCCTCCACATTATGCAATATTCTCCAGCCTCTTGTCACTTCTTCACTCCTGGGTCAAAATATTATCCTAAGCTCCTGACCTCAAACATCCTCAATCTGGGTTCTTCTTTTAATCTGAAGACAAGTTTTCACATCTACACAAAATAACAGCTACAAGTATAGTTCTGTACATTTTAATTTTTACATTCTTTGACAGCAGACAAAAAGGGAAAAATAGCTGATATACAGTCCCACTTTACTAACATTCATTTTTGATTAGCAGTTGATCAATTGTGCCAAAATCTACACTGGTCATCGCCAATAACTCTGTCCATGCAAGGCCATGACTTTGACAGAATAAAGTTGGATAAATGTTTGTATATAGTTGACAGCAGTGACATTCCTAGCCAATTACTAGTCAGTTCCATCACCCTTCTTACAAATAGGTACAATAATAATGGACTCTTCTACTGCTCTGGCAATTCTTCCCAGTTGTAAATACAATTATGATGTTTGTGGATCTCAGAAAATAATGTATTACATCCTACTTGGATCAAATCTGCCTCAATTTAATCAATACCTGGGTATTTACATATTTTCTACTTTTCAATAGCAACTTCAAACTCAAAAAAGTTAGACTGACAGACAAACTAACTAAATGGCTTACAGAACCCAAAGCTTCATCACCGAATTAACCAAAGCCCTCCACCGGACCATCCTGGGCCAACAAAAATCCAGTCTCCTTCAGCTCCTATCTCCCATAGATACTGCCTGCGATTATCCTCCCATCTACATCTAGATCTCCCCAGCTGTCTCTTCCACTCAGGCTTAAAGACCAATACCCGGTACACACCTCTTGCCCCATCCATGCGCACTACATGTCCTGCCCATCTCATTCTTCTTGACTTAATCACCCTGACAATACTGGGGGAGGAGTACAGATTTTTAAGCTCATCATTATGCAGTTTTCTCCATGCCCCATCGTCTTCCCTCTTAGGCCCAAATATCCTCCTCAACACCCTGTTCTCAAACACCTGCAATCTGTGTTCCTCCCTCTGAGTGAGAGACCATGTTTCGTACCCATACAAAACAACAGGCAAGATTATTGTTTTGTATACTTTAATTTTCAGGTTCTTAGAAATCACATCTATGGTGCTTTGGCAAAAGTAATTCTTCCATGTATTCATGAGGGAATAATGTGGTAATCTGGAAGCAGATTACCATTCTCATATTTTAACAAATTACATTTAGGTTAGTAACCCTTCTTAAATCAATTTATGCCTCGGCACAGGTATCTAATATTTTTGTTATTACCATTTAGTTCAAGATAATTAATACAGTATTTCAAACATTCCCATCTGCCCATATTACTTTCATTCACCTGGCTTGTGTTCTGTAACCACATCCACACTGTGGTGAGAGCAGACCCACTAAACAGGAAATCAGACATACTTTTTCCAATTTAAAAAAATATTAAAGGGAGAACCTAGAACTACTCACAAATCTTTAGCTATACAAATAACAAGCTGATTATCTATCCAATTGACTGAGGTGTTTACACCCGTAATTTCTCTGTAGACATGTGCCTCAATTTGTGAGATATGAGGTTTTGGAAGTGACAATGTTGACGTTCTTTAGGTTCTGGTGCTGTGTGGACTGGCCAGAACCCAAAAAACATCATCAAAATTTTTACAGAATGTTTTGTTGTGCATTAGACAATGGATATGGTTTTTGCATAACAGTGCTCCATAAAATTTGCATGGGACTGGTTAGGCAGTCATTATCCTGGATGCCACACCAGTCACAGTTCTGAGGCTGCTGTGATGTGGCCTACTACGGTTACCAGACCTTCATCTGAGAGACTTTTACTTGTTGGGTTCCATGAAAAATGCAGTTTATGACAATGTTGTGAACAGAAGACACCATCTTTGGAAATGTATACAGGATGCAGAAAACGTGATTTTTGGTGCACCTGAGGTGTCTGAATGCAAATTATCCTTGTTCCAACATCGTATTGACACATGTTTATTCCCATGGAGGGAATGTTTAGCATTTATTGTGATATGTACAATAAGTAATCCCTCTCTTTGTCAAACATGCCACATTTCATAACTTCTCACAGCTGTGGGAAAAGAACAAATTTGAAGATTTCCGGCGCAACAACCCAGAAGACGGAAATCTTCATACTCACCGCTGTGAGAACCTCAAGTCTTACAAGAACAAATTTGTATTCTGCAAATTCTTTAAACTACTTGCATTACAAATTTCTTTCTGAATGTGGTACGAAAGAAAAACATGTCATTTTAGTAAAATTTTGTGATCTTTGAACACAAGCAAGCCCTTTTTTTCAAAAGAGAAAAAAGTTTTGCATATAATAGTCTCATTATTATCCTGAGTTACATTTATGATAACTACTACTTCAATGGTTCCATCTGGTGAGAATCTGCTGAAATTATTGCAACATGAACAGAAGAAACTGGGATAATAATTCGTACCCACAAAATTTAAACTGCTAAGAGTTAAGTTGAAATAATATATTTACGAGAACATTTTAAACCCAAGTTAAATCAGGATTAAGGAGGGAAGTGGTCAAAGACACTACACTGAATAAAAAAGTAATAGGTAAAACTGTTAACAATCAAGCAACAAATTTAGTCTGTATTGTTTATTTCAATATTTATAGTTTTAAATTAAAGATAATTTTTTCCAACGCCCATGAAAATGAAGAAAAAATAATTCTCCATAAATGTTCTGCTAAGTCACTGCATTTCAGGTTCAATAATATCAATAGCAATAAGCTACAGTGCCAAATGCTGTCTTTCCTTGTGTTAAGACAAAAGAAAATAAGCAAGCAAAACTGTATACAATGATTTAAAACACTGCACTTACTCCCACAGTTTACAGCTCATTGATAATGGTCACTGTACCTGCGCAGGATTTCCAACAACCATACATTCTGAAACTCACATCTAGAACAAAATACCTGCCATGAGTTTGACCAAAACAGATTCCCGAGTTGTTATAGCAGTTACGGAGTTCAGATTGTGGTCTAGCTGTGACACGATGTAATCTTGCAGATTGTTACAAAATTTGGGAGGAGCTTACTGCCATTATCATCAAGATATGTTGCTCCGAAATGCTGTAACCACCTATATGGTCTAAAAACTCTGAACACCACAGTCAGTGGAGATGTGTAAAGCATAAGTCACCACAATGATGCTACAATAATATTCCACCTTTACAGCCCATAATTCATATTCTCATGACATTTGAACAGTACGTTACTCACCAGAATTCATGAATGCTGCCACTGTGACAAAAACCTTAAACACCATAAGTCAGACCTGCAACAACAAGAATTTTGCTGTTTTATCTTTTACTCTTCATTTCCATAGGATACACAACTTTCATGTTGATGGCTGTCTTCTGGATTGTTGTGCCATGTGGTCTGGTGCAAGTTTACCGATGTTTCAGAGGTCTTTGCTGCCTCCATTATCAGGGCAATGATGATGGAGGCAGCAAGGACCTTTGAAATGTAAAAATACTACCAGACTATGCAAGATTAATATCCATAAGACAGGCACCTTCAAATTTGAAACATCATTCTGGGTACATACTTTTCAAAGAAGATGAACTTATAAAAAAATTCAAACACAATAAAGACTGCAACTGAAGAGTCACTTTTAAAACCACAAGAGTTCATTTTCTTTGAGAGCAATAAACCACTGCTACCACGGCAAGTACCAAGGGTAAATGCATGATTTTACACAAGAATCACATTGTCCAAGCATTTAATGCATATGGGCAACCTTATCCATGGTCTGTTTCCCAGTAAAACAAAATTAGTCCTTGACTCAGTCAACTCACCATAAAGAAACCACTGAAGCCTACACAACTTAGATGTGTCATTCCAGCAGTGAAAGAGACATATAACTTCATGAGTCATCAGTATTTTAACAATTATCAGCAATTAAAGTGTGAATTATTTGCTTTACAAATGTAAATTTACTACATTCACTATGACTATAATTTATTTTCTTGCCCACAGTTCTGTTAGTTTATAAGTCATGATGCTGTTCATTCTGCCCAGACTCCACACTAGTAACAATTCTTAACTTCACACTGCAACTGTAATGCTTCAATGATGCTCTCATGGCTCACAACTCACCACCACAAACAGTGCACATCATCACTATAACCCAGTCCCTTGCCACAAATCAACTTGCTGCTTCTTATACATAGGTCCACTCAACTAGGTCAATTTCCAATCCTTCTACTGCATTTGAGACACTATTCAATGAAAGTTTGTAACAATATAATATGGATACTTTTAACACAAAAATAACTTTAGCTTATACCCCTAATGTAAGATATGTTAGTGAATTAGAACTGTATTAAAATATTACAGACGTATTATTATTATTATTATTCAAGCAAAATGAATACAGTGTAAAATAAAGAGTGTGGTTGCTATCATGTCTTTTTTAGTTCTCTTGTGAGTCAGTTCTGCAGACTCGGACAGTTTTGCAAATGACTGATTCAATTTAATTAATATGTTTCTTAAGGCAGAAAGATGCATGAGTTGGCAAACAGATCAGTTACAAAGTGAATGTCATGAATGGCATGTGAGAAATGTAACAAACAAAATATGATTTTACTATAATTCTGTCAGAAGACAAGGCAGTGGTGTCTCCAACAAATGTTAAAGAAGGATGCTTATATGTGTTTGCATGCAGATCCACAATTCACTTGCTGCACTGAAAAGTAAGGATAAATAAGATGTGCACTGCTTGCCATTAAGCAGCTCTCGGTCTTTTGCCCATGGTTTATCACGTAGCATAATTCTGCCATTCATACAGCCCAGCATATCTCAATGGACTATTAATCAGATTTTATACATTTAATTGCAAGATGTGATCATGTACATTTTCTAATATGGCAAGCAAACTACATTCACATTACCTCCAACTTCCTAACATTCATTTGTCCAAAAACTGAGGAAATAAAAATTTAGACTCTTGAAGGCTCAATTACTAAACATAAACAATCACCAGCAGTTTGTGTTTTAACTGTAAATAAATCCTAGCAATTAGGTAACAAACAATATTCTGCCCACTTTCCATGGTGGAGAGACAAATCAGTCAACAAACACTGAGTTCATTTCCAATCGAATGGCTATCCACCCCTGAATTCACAAATGGAAACCACCATTCTGTGGTTTTCAGGCATTTCAAGATCACTTTTTATTTACGTACGTGACACTTGTGGTGAGAAACAGTCACCCCTTTCTTCTCAGAAAAACAGAATCACATTTCTGGTTTCCAATTTTGGAGGTATGCCTTTCACATCAGTCTCTTCAAGGTCAATTGTGATTTAGTTTGCACAGCTAATTAACTGAACCGTCTGAACACATGTGAAAGGGACCATCCCTCCAAGATACAATTGGATGAGGTAGGCGTAACTTCCGGAAAACTGAAATTCGATTAGCACAAACGTACAACACCACATTCTCCAGGTACGTATCTCATAAACTGATACAATGACTGTGAAGCATATACCTACATCTCCTTGAACACGCATACGTCACTCTTACACTATTTTCTTTTTGGCCAACATGCTTACCTAATATTCTTAGGTTATTATTGAGCTGTCCCGAGGCCGTTTTATTTGGAAGTACTTTAGTTTCAGTTACACTATTACTATACAAACGGCATACATTCACCGTTAACAATTTCCGTACTAAATCAACACACTGTCTTGTTTACCTTGTCACACACCAACAACGTAAAAAGACGCTCTTGTTTCTAAACTTTTCGTTCAGCCGGTGCTCTCAAAGCTTCGCCCAGTTTCCATTTAAAGCTCAATGACGTCATTTTAGCAAGTATGCAGACTCGCTAGCCAACCACGCCACACAAAACGAGAATGTAGGTAAAGAAGAGCACATGGAGCTAGAAGCGAATCTACTACGTGTTACAGCAAACGTCGTCTGTATTCGCGTGCACAAATGTTTAGTATGTACCACTGATTGCGTATATAACCGTAGGAACAATGAAGGCGTGTATAGTTTTACTAGAAATGCATATACGTGTCTCCACACGACGACGATATACTAGGTCCAATATTTACATCGTAACTAATGTATTCAAAATGACCTTGACATAAATTGCATGCGTTACGAAAGTAGGTAAATTCGAAACGAGAATAAATATAGGAAAGAAAATGACGCATGCTATTTGAAAGCAACCTTGTCGCATATAATTCTCACCTTCACCAGGTCGATATGCATACCTGACCGATTTGTGTTTGCACAGTAAGTCACCTTCTGTAACTTGTACAATAAAACAATGAATTTAAATCCTATAGAACTTTCGTAGTACTAGGTAAGGATGTGTAATAAGTAAAAGTGAAGCTTTCTCGGCGACCGAAGTTGATGAAAGACTCTTTGGTAACAAGCCGCGTCAGGTGGCTGAATGCTGAATGAACCATTTCTTCCGCCAACGTTTCGAGAGTCATCTCTGCTCTCATCCTCAGGGCAGATGTGTAATTTGTCTGAACACATCGTGCAAACACAACACCAAGCTATTTCCAATATTTTGTAAACTCCAGCTGAAGTAATTTCTTCTCCAGAGCCGGTGTCAGACGAATATTGATCTTTCAGTGGTGTTTAACTTTGTGGCACACTTGCGATATTATTTATTTTTTGCGGCACACTATAATTAGAATAAAAAATTTTAAAGATCACTCATATTTTTAGAAATCTTACTTGGCTGTCCCACCCGGGGTTTTACGTTAATATTTTCACACGTTACCTTGTCACGTTTTCTCGCAAAAAATCTGTACATTTTTAGGGGCACTACTTATAATTCCTTTTTCGGCGAAAATTGTTTTCAACAAAGGACACTGCACCCAACACAACTTGTGTAAAAATTGAGCAACACAATCTTGTGTGCACAAACTTTTTTTCTGTTGGTGGCAGACTCTGTCGACAAACGGAGTCGGTATGAATTAATTTTTGGCAAGGAGCGAGATCAGATATCTTCACAGCCATTGTTGTAACACCTCCACCAACAGTAGCTGCTATTATCATTGCCTCACACATTCTATCAGATGATCACCTTTGCGCCAAGAGTCTTAAAAAGTTCTGCAACGCAGTAAGTTTATTTTTATGTTGCATAGCGCTGTTTTGACAGTGCACTTCGCGCATTTTATTCCGACAAAACAGTTTTTAGCAGCTGACTAAATTTCGCCGGTACTGTCTGCCATTACTTGCCAAGTGCCGATGTATTATGATCATATGCAGACAAAAAACAAAATGGGACGTCAGCAACCCAAAATCACCACTTAGAAGTGATGCCTGACGCTGGCCTACGTTTTGAATCAAAATAAGGCCCTCGGATAGGTCCCAATTTTTCCTCTTTGGTAGTCTAGAAATAACGCTAAATAGCTTGTTTAAATTGCGTTGGTCTTTAGTGTTGTAGGTCAACCTATTACCAAAATGTATAATTTCGGATTTCTGGAGAGAAATGTGGCGAATGTTTGCTATTAATCAACGGCAAAAACTGAAGTTGTCATTTTCAAGGTGGTTGATCTTGGTAAAGGTTGGCAGCATGTTCCTGACCGTCCGTCCCAGGAGAAAGGCAAAATAGCTAAGAAGCAGGTCCTCGTTTGTCGGAGGTAGTCCAGTAGTGTGACGTCACTGCATGCCATATCTAGACTTCAGAACTGGCCCCACCTCATGCTCACCTTGAATATGGCAACTGCAGTGTTTGTTGAAGCGTTATTTAACATTCAAACTGACTCTCACCATAAATTATGAATAACCATGCGAGTTTCACATTTTATGTGACTACCTTGTTACTTTCTACCTTAAAAGTGACCTCAAGAAAATTATATAATTTTTAAAATATACCAAGAAATGCAATGGACGGTTCTTGCACTGAATGGCATTTTTGGTGCTCCCGTCCTCAAAGTCTGTATTGCTGCCATATTGATGATGTGTCTGTCAAAATTTTGAAGATATACTGTGATTAATAATGTCATCACCCTGGATGTAAGTTTAATGCAAACCAGCCAATCACATAATAAGTTATTACAGGAAATATAAAGAGAAAAAGCAAGTGTATACTCTGCCTGAGCAGATAACTGACTCAACCTTGAAGCCATGAAGTCATCCTGAATGCTGTCCTAAAACACTGCCTCTTGATATCATGGGTATATTACTAATGACCTGACTAATTTATTAAATTCAATACGTACATTGAAATCCCAAAAATACAAGAGACAAAACACCAGAAAGCTAGAAAACTAAAAGAGAACAGAGTCAGCTGATGTTTCGTTTCTGCGTATTAGCACAGCTGTGCGCCTGCACACATGGGTACCTCTGTTTGAAAGTCAAGTGAATTCTCTACTCAGACAGTATTCATTTCCTTTCAGAAGCTGGTCTAAGACATGTACATCACATACGTTCATCACTTCAGAAATTACATCATAAAGAAAAGAGTCAAAATAGAATTAAAACATAATTTAACAATACCATGGTCTATAATTTTTGTTGGAAACATTCCTGGTAAGCGGCTAACAATAAATCTTCCAAGTTGTGGTTTTAATTGGCTACCTCAAAACTAAACATTGTCAATGTTTGATGAGTAATGCAATCTGCGACAAACAGGAGGAATGAGATGATGGATGGATGGATGGATACACAGATGGGATAATATCTAACGTCACTATACCAAAGTACATAATATAACCATTTCATTAATACATTATCAGTTAATCAGTCATCATCACCAGATCCATACAATCGTTTGTGTCTCTTCTTAGACATAAACACATCATCATCTGTAGGCCGCAGTGTCTTAGGGGGGATCAGAGCACCTCCAACACACCTGTTCTCAGAATTTAAGAAGTTGAATGTTGCACAAGCTTGTTCTGTAGTTAATACTTCTATGCTGATGCGATATTTTGTCATAAAGGTAAGGACGCTTTTGTCCAGCACTGAACTGCTCCTAACATCTCCTACTCCCAGAACAAGGATATCTGCAAATATAAAAATAGTGTGGATAATTGCAACCTTGATCTGCAACTTTGTAGAAAGAGATCATGTCTATCAGTGAAGTGTTTGAGCCTGACTGGATGAACAAATGTAGATACTTTCCGTGTCCACCTTGTACGTCTGAATATATGCTGTGATATTCCATAATGAAATTTCAGGAGCTAACCTGCCAGAATTTCTTGAATTATTAGAGATCATAGTACAAGTTTTACATCATCTGCGAGTGTTACCCTAACATGCATCTTTTAACATTACAGAAACAGAAAGCAACATATCTGAATTCCTTCCCAGATAGATTCTGTTATAAGTATTTGAAGAACACTGTGAAACAATGAAATCTGTGAAACACACTCTCTTTCTGGTATCTCTGCAGTCATGAATACTGCTGTCAGTAAACAAGTGACTTACCATGGGGAGAGGTCAGTCTTGCAAGTGAGATGCTGAAATTAAACATTTCTTTTTAACCAAGCTTAATAAAGAATAAACTAAATGCAATAAATACATATTTTCTATGAACAGTGGTGGTGCTGATCCACTGTGCAACATTACTGAATCACTGTTTTGACTGCAGAGTGGTTAGAATGCTGTGTTAAAAAGTACCAATAAGTTAAATAATTCTTTGTCAGAAATTGTAACATTTATTTGATAGAAATTACACAAATTACATGGAGAATATGTTTCTACCTATCATCTGACACATGGATGGCTACTCAACTTAATCAGTTACAATAACTTTAGGCATGTTTTTGGACCCATGTGTGGAATGTGTTCACTGGATAGCCGTGCCGTAACATTCATTTTTCTTGTATTTGTACATGGTACTTTTCCACCTGAACTTCGTGGATGCTGGTGTTATAACTAAAATAATGTACTTGGGAGCTAGGTATGGTTGAAACTGTTGGGTAAACCACATTTTGAAATCCCTGAATTCACCTTGCCATATTATCTGTTCAGGCATTCAATTTAGACTGAAAAATTAACTTAGCTCTGTGGAATGAATCCTGTCGGGGCTGAACCAGGGAACCATCCGCCAGAATCTTGTTTTGTATTCTGATTCACCCAAGTTTCATTCAAAAACAATGCTCTTGTGGCTTCCTCCCATCACTAAATTTCCATAAATCCATATGCACCAATACTCACAACATGGATTTTCAGCTGCCTTAAATCCTGCCTCTTCTTTCATTTTCACAACTAGTCTCTGTGGCATAAGAAATTCTCCAGCCCCATACATATAAAAAATTATGTAATGCAGCAAATTTTTATTAAAATCATCCAATTTAGTCACTGGTTTTTTGCTCTGGTGAATGAAGAGCCACACTACCACTTGTATTGATGGAAAATTTTGTCTCCCTAAAAATTCCTTGTATGGCCCAAAGTCTGATTTTATTTTCTTTGGCCGTCCACTCCCTACACATGGCAATGCTGTGAAATGTATGATTTGACGTTTTCATGGTGGTAAGTCTGATGATGGCTGTCTTCTGAGTTGTTGCGCCGTGTAGTCTGGTAGAAGTTTACCGACATTTCAGATGTCCTTGCTGCCTCCAGATGATGGAGGCAGCAAGGACCTCTGAAACGTCGGTAAACTTCTACCAGACTACACGGCGCAACAACCCAGAAGACAGCCATCTTCAATGCTGTCAAATGCTTGGCACATAGCTTTCTTTTGGAAATACTGGTTAATGCTGTACATCAGTCCTCTGGCTCATCTACAGAGTACTGTGTTTGTTTTAGTCTTTCAATTGTGAAAGATTCATCATCAAAACTGTCTGAATGAAGAGCAGGAATCATATCACCACAATGACCATCAGAACACCAACATGTGAAGAACATCTATACATAAGCAAGCACTTCAGCCAACTGACACTGACTGGCCTGCAAGCATGTAACCAACCTTCCTTGCTATGTTGCATCCTGCATTCTCCTGCCTTCATTTGTGCATTTCAGTCAAGTACCTGTTAGAAAGAGAATTTTTCCAGATTTTATAAATAATCATTATGTCAAGGATATACTGTATGTTCATACCAATCTTTGGCTCAAGCAGGCAGAAAAGTGACAGAGAGTCCTCATTAATATCTCTCTCACTGCCCACATTCCAACTGAGGACTGTGCGAGGAAATATGGCCATAGGTCCCAATATGTACATTCCATTATTCAGTCGGAATCCAAACTGCAACAATGAGACACATAAGACTATTTTACTAAGCAAAGAACTACAATTTTAAAAACTAAAGTTTATGTACAACCCTTCACCAGCATGACAGAATCCATCACACAGCCACACAAAACAAATAAAATATTTTGTAAGTGCATTGTTGGAGTTTTCAACGGTTAATGATATGATACAGTCTTTAAGACTAAAATAAATATTTCATGAAGCAGGCCCTGTCTGTGACTGCTGGTCTCAAGAATTCAAATTCTGACACATTTAACAGCCACAACATGGCTTTGTTGCTAACTGTGCTTACATTAAGTAATTAATTATTTACAAATGTTATACCTGACTGTAAGAGTTAATCATCAACCCCTCTACATTTCTGTTCAATATCTGAACCGTCGTCTTCCCATCAGGATCATAGCTGTGATGCCGCACTGAGATTATGGGCAGGTTCTCTTTGTAAAACCTAAAATAAGGGCTTATATTAACACACTGAGGAACAATCTGTCACTATAATAAGAGTAACATGTTTTATTAAAAAGCCAGATGATCCGTCATTAATGTCAGCTTTTATCACATCAAAGGTAGTACAAGCCACTGGGTATGTAACTGAGAGGTAAAGTTGCAATCTTAAAGCTTTTATCACATCAAAGGTAGTACAAACCACTGGGTATGTAACTGAGAGGTAATGTTGCAATCTTAGCAAGGACTCACTAAGTGCCTTGTACATACTCACAAGAAAATTGTACATGCTGTTAAGAACACAAAGCTTCATTATACAAGTTCTTGGCAACAAAAGCTGATGATATATTCATAAAGATAAAGGTGAGAAGCGGAAGCACATATAATCTCAAAACTTTTCCTAACATCCAAGAATTGTCAGTGATGAGTGCAAGACAGTGAATTTTGAGTTGAGACACACAGCTATATAAAAAAATGGCATCACACAGTTTCCTAAACTGCAATTAATAGGGGTGCCATACTGTGTCTGAGTCTTGACAATGAACTGACTGTCAAGAAACTGGTTCTCAATATAACATTACTGACTGCACCAAAAATTGCCATTCTTTGTTACGATGGTAATTAATTCTTCTGCACACACACTGTTTAATAAACCTTTATAATATAGAATTTGTTTAGTCTAGAAACATGGGATTAGCTCTATCTAGTGGGCCCAACTGTGTAGGAACCTGAAGACGGAGATAGAGTCCCATCTCCGAAACGTCGTTTTACGTTTTATATTTACTAGACGATGGATAATATCCAAGGAAATTTTTATTCAATAGAAACAAAACACATAAAATTACATATATTCATATTTCTTTGTAAACAACATCCCTGAATGAACAATACTTCAAAATTAGTTTACTTTGCTTATTTCCATTCCATCACGTCATATGGAATTAACGTCTGGGGGAATTCAACAGACAGCAAAGAGTATTTATAATAGTCTCATGCAGAGAACTGTTTAAGAAATGTAACATACTCCCCCTTGAAAATTAATACCTTCTATCATTGCTATATTTCATTGTGAATAAAATGGAGGAGTTCCAAACAAACTGACGTACATCTTTATTACATCCTACAACATAAAGACAAGGTATATTCATCATCTCCATCAGCCAAGTGCAAACTTCATCAGTTACCAGAGGTGCTTATTATGCAGGGATCAAATTATTCAATACCCTTAATCACAGCATTTAAAGTTTAAATCATGATATAAAAGCATTTAAGCCAGCACTGAAAGATTATCTTTTATCTCACTCCTACTCCGCAGAAGAATTCACTTCAATTGAAAATTATAAATACTGCAAATATTTATGTAAATAACTGTAGTAAGTATGAAGTTACAATTTTGTTTTGACATTTATTGTACTTGGTGCTCATATTCATACTATGACATGCTCCACATCCTTGGCTTGTATTATGAAGGCTCTATAGAATGTAAATAAATCCTAATTCCACACAGAATGTCTCTTAAAATACAATAGGAAGCTCAGAATAAGTAAGGCCGAACATCTCGTGTTCTGGGGCGCTTTTCTTATCATAAGATGTCCTTCCTGGCTGTGTGTGGCAAAAGAAAAGCACCTCTTCACTTTGCTCCGAACTACACATGTTAAATATTTGAAAGGTATGAAAGCTGTGAACTAAGTTGGTAGTGATGAGTCAGGTTAGGTCTCTCACACAATAATTCGGGGAATAACAAACACCTACATACACTATGTTATATTACCCTACTGTGCAATAAAACAACATAACCGACTTACCAGTACTTTTTGACGTAACCGGCATTGCTTCTTACTATATTTCTTAGTGCAAACACCATTATAGTAACGTATCGGAGATGACCTGCTACTACAATGCGTAGTTAATTACAAGTGGTATTGATTTCGTTGTTTACTTCTAAAACTGAACATTGTCACAGGTATGAAAGACTACACAGCCGAAATTACGACGTCCCTAACCTACAAACACGAAAGCCATGTCTCACTGCGTTATACAGCTAAAACATACCACGACTTATTAGGTATCGTGTAGCATGGACTCGTGTTGAGCACTCATAACCAAGGTGTAATGCGGTTATTCCCATTCGCTACTCCATTCCAGTCGTTTATAGTTTCGACAGCTGATTGCTGAGCTTTGCATGGCAGATATGGGGTCATTAAGTATAAGTAGTTATTAGTTTACTTTCGTTGTACAGGAAGTAAAGTGGAGACATTACTGAAGTGCATTCGAGACCACTGTTTTAGTATTTGGAAGATCTTTCGAAATTAAATACGGAAACATTACACTATGCAGGTAATATGTCTACTGTGATTCATACTGTTAAAGATGACCTAAATCTCAGAATCAGAAAGTTATAAGGATCTAAACGTATGTTACCACACCTGCACAATGAATTATTATATTCTCTCCACCCCTATAGTCCGTAGCGTACGCAAATGAAAACATATTTATAATTGAAAACATAGAGACAGGCAAATGATGTTCATGCGATTTAACCTTTTCACTCTTTTCTTGATTGCCTGTATGTTATAGTTTCCATTAGATCAAAGCTTCAGTATGCCTCAGTCATTTGGAACCCTATTATAACTACTGATGCCAACAAACTGGAATGCATCCAGCAAAAGTTCCAAACCCTTTGCTCTAATTGTTGCTTCCCCCATGTGCATTACAGCTATGCTAATACTTTATGGTATTAAAACTCCAAACCATATGTAAGAGGAGGTATTGCAGTGTTCCTTATCAAAATCTACTGTGGTTTGAAAGATTGCCCTTCCTTTCTGGAAGCTGTTGGACTTCAAATTCCTGCTTCATACCTGTAAGACTTTTCTGTGTTCAGTTACAGCCCTTCAGCTAGATGTGCATCAGCTGCTAATGTTACATGCAGGGACCTTAATATATTTGAAATAAAAATTGTTTCTCTTAACCACATTCTATAACTGTTACTATCCATATATTATATATTACTTTCTCTCCTACTCTACTCACCATTGACTATGTTATGATCATAATTATATCAATTCTCTGATTTAGTACCTTTGTTTGTCTTACATATTTTCTTCTCCTTTTAATCTAATTGCCTTAAATTTAATTATTATTACAAATCATATAACTTGGTAATCATGACTGATTTGCAGAATCCAAATGAGGACACAGAGTGGAATGATATCCTTCGGAGCAAAGGGATTCTTCCCCAGAAAGAAAAGGAATTTACAGAAACAGATATCATCAACATGTTGGAAAAAACGATAGAAGAGAAGCAGTCCAAAAGTGAGGAAGTTTTGCAATCTGGTTCATAAACTACTAACAGTCAGAGTTTAAGATTTGTAATTGCCATGTTGAGAAATAACGAATGTTACTGCAGCCAGGGCATTGGAGTCAGTACTAAAATCTTTGACTCCTTCATAAAATCTCAATATGTATTAATAAGGGTAAACCTACTAAAATGGTAAATGGCACCATAAGAGATTTCATTATCACCACGTGAATCATCAACCTACTTTTTAGACTTATAACCCATATTTAAGTATGAGTATAATGATTTTTGCAGAAATCGGTTGATTTGTAGACAGTTTGTATTCTTAAGGTACTGGAGCCAAAGTTACAAAGCATTATTCCCACACCATGTGGCTCAACGCGTCATTGAATCTCCCTAAGCGTGAGGCCACCGGTGGCTCTCACGGTATAGAAATTGTTCTTAAGATTAAAAATCGAGGTCAGAGTCAGAACATTTTTACCGACTCTGACTGTAGCAGTACTTTCTGGAATTGTGCAGGTGGCAAACAGCTGGAGAGACTGTCCATTGATGAACTTGATGAGCTGGAAGATGAAGAGGATGAGAAAGTGATCCTTGAATATCGTAAGAAACGCATCGCCCAGATGAAGGCCGAAGCAGCAAAAGCTCGCTTTGGGGAGGTGACGGAGATCAGTGCAGAAGATTATGTGCAACATGTAAACAGAGCAGGAGAAGGTGTGTGGGTTGTGCTGCATCTCTACAAGCAAGGGTAAGACTGCTTGATTAATCTTCTTACGTGTACATAGTGATTTTTTTTCTACTTGCTCATCTTCCAGTTATCCTGTTATCTTGTTAGAGATAATTTTGGTGCAGTGACTTGATGTTTTATGTTATAAAAATAAACACAATATGTTCAAATTCCTACAAGACTTGCATTCAATCTGTCATTCCCATAAAAGATCTCTGATATTGTAAGTTTCATGGATGAGTGGCATGCAACACTTGAGCAGGTTTCTGCTGAGTAATGATTTAATTAACGTGAAGAATTGTGTTTGTGCAGGATCCCATTGTGTTCACTGCTGAATCAACACTTGTCAAAGTTATCAGTGAAGTTCCCAGCCACAAAGTTCCTGAAGAGCATCTCCACAACTTGCATCCCAAACTTCCCTGACAGTAACCTGCCATCTATTTTTATATACTTTGAAGGTGACCTAAAGAAGCAGCTTGTGGGGCCACATGAATTCCGAGGCACGAATCTGTCTGTGGATGGTGAGTATGCAATAAATGTAATGGAGGGAGCACCTAACTGACCCCTGCACCATGACCATTTGTATATATTTTGTGCAGCACTATTCATCCCATGAAGTACAGTATCCTACATAGCAGGATCTTGTAATTGTCTTCTCAGCTTTCCTGAGTTTGGCTGATGCTGTCAGCT